AGATTGTAAGCAAACAAACTAAAATAAAACATATGTTAGTAGGACCCGTCCACCCCACAAAATAATAAGAGCGGCCGCTGTATTCTCTCGACAGACAGAATAAAGTGGCCCACTCATTAATGGTGTAGGGAAGGTAAAAATAAATGACAGAATGGGGAAATCAATATCTGACTAAGCCGAGATTAAAAAAAAGAGGTTAAAAACAAACTGGGGAGGTTGGGAGACTCGACATGGATCATAACAAAAGAGAAAACCGGGAACAGGGAAGGAACAACAATCACATTAACTAGAAAAAACAAGTAATGTCTAGCTTAACCCGGGGGAAAGGATCACAGGAAATCGTCCCGTTGTGCCGAAGAGGACTTTAAAAAAATAACTCAAGAATAGCCCCTTTTACAGAAACCAAGCTCGCTACTCTCACCCACCATTCGCTGAAATCTGTCGAAACCAAACGCTTTGTATCAGTTCTGATCTTCGTCTTCAGTTGATGCTGAAAGAATCTGATCAGAGCCTGATGAGAATAGCGTTCATATCGCAAGATTCCCCCCATGCATGCCGTCTAGCAGCGTTAGAAACACCATTCATTTCACTCCAGAATACAATTTATGTAGGTCTGTCGAAAACGGTTTTGCACTATAAATTCGACTAGTTTCTTTAACATGCAACAACGAAACAACTGTGTTTTTAAATTGATTTCTCTCTAGAAACTGAGTTTCAAACTGATAAATGATATTTCTGAACCTTATCTTTCCTCTAAAACATTCTCAATCAACCGTGTCAGTCAATCGATACTTCTCTTTGGACATGTCCTAAAAAATGCCCCTTCATGAAGATTTCAAACATTTAGTTGTTATATCAATCTTTTTGAAAAATGCCAATATTTTGCAACTTGTACGTGTCTACAAACACCACAAACTTCTTTTTAATAAATGACTGGTTTGATTTTGTTCCTTTTTTTTACATCTTATCGGCAATTTGTAGGTTATTTAAAGTTAAGCATATATCATACATAATGATTCTTTTTTTTGCAAACAAATATTGCATTAACAATTTCTTTTGAGAATAACAACGCATTTTTTTAGATGAAATTCCTATTTAATCCATAACCGGGGGGAGGAGCTAGATTCATGCCTTTCTCAGGGATATGTGCCTGTAAGTGATCGTAACAAATGAGACTGGAATTCGAACTGGGTTTCTCAAATTAGCATTTCACACTGCAATTCATGACACCACACGCACCACTTTCTCATCATTGAGACAGCCACTAAGCTCCTTGAAGGTCGACAAATATTTACGCTTGTGCACAGATTGTGTGGTGGGTGCAGCTCACGTGAAATATATCAGGTAAATACGAGAAGGCGATGCGCGCGACTGTCAATAACGTTAAGATTTATTAGGAATAGTATATACATTATCCCTTCAGAGGGGAAGATTTATCTTAATAGATCATTATTTTTTATTATGCAATATTCTTATTAGGGGAGTGCAAGAGTTTCCAGTATTTCCACTTTATTAAAATATCTGTGTAAAACTGTATACTGATACTTGTTTGCAAAAGAGGATGCACAAAAACAATATCTCTCTCCCTCTCTGTTTTCCTCTCTTTTCACTTTCTCTCTCTGTATATATATATACTAGCAGTAGAGCCCGGCGTTGCCCGGGGATATAAAAGTAAGAGATAGATCAAGTATCCACCATCATAAAGACTGAAAAATAAAATTGACAAAGATTATTGTTTAAGGTTGACTGACACGCATATCTGAATTAGTTGTTTTTTTTTTTTACGAATTGGTCAAACCCAAACTCAAACAAAAACATCGTTTTCAATCGTTATGAGTCTCTACCGATTGAATAGAATTTTATTATAAGCAACTGTCTTGTAAATGGAATTTTAAAAGCATTCTGAATGTAAAAATAAAGAAAAAAGTGTGCAAGACAATAAGAAACACCACATGCCATAAAAAGTGAAGTTTTGTTGAAATCGGTTAAAAAATGTAGGTAGCCTTTCTGTAATCTTTTAGTTTTACAATTTATGATTTTTACTTATTGAATACAGTAAAAAAAATGAATATTTTGCTTGTGGTGATTCATAATTAGAATTCTGATTTGAATATATTTTCCACTCGTTGTTTCTAATACAAAAAATATTAACTTTATTTGGGTTTATTAATTATGATCTAACAAATCTTATTCATTTAGTAGCCTTTCTGTAATAATAATCTTTTACAATTTATGATTTTTACTTATTGAATACAGTAAAAAAAATTGGACATCATGTGTATTTAAAGTAGTTTCCGATTATTATTTTTAGTTAGGACTTGTGTATGTTTAGATTTCATTATCTTTCCCCAAAGATAAAGAATTTATCCGATGTTTGTATTCGTACAATCAGTAGAGATCGTTAGATTATATTGTTTAAGGTTGACGGACACGCATGTCTTAATTAGTTTTTTTTTTTTTTACGAATTGGACAAACCCAAACTCAAACAAAAACATTGTTTTCAATCGTTATGAGTCTCTACCGATTGAATAGAATTTTATTATAAGCAACTGTCTTGTAAATGGAATTTTAAAAGCATTCTGAATGTAAAAATAAAGAAAAAAGTGTGCAAGACAATAAGAAACACCACATGCCATAAAAAGTGAAGTTTTGTTGAAATCGGTTAAAAAATGTAGGTAGCCTTTCTGTAATCTTTTAGTTTTACAATTTATGATTTTTACTTATTGAATACAGTAAAAAAAATGAATATTTTGCTTGTGGTGATTCATAATTAGAATTCTGATTTGAATATATTTTCCACTCGTTGTTTCTAATACAAAAAATATTAACTTTATTTGGGTTTATTAATTATGATCTAACAAATCTTATTCATTTAGTAGCCTTTCTGTAATAATAATCTTTTTATAATTTATGATTTTTACTTATTGAATACAGTAAAAAATTGGACATCATGTGTATTTAAAGTAGTTTCCGATTATTATTTTTAGTTAGGACTTGTGTATGTTTAGATTTCATTATCTTTCCCAAAGATAAAGAATTTATCCGATGTTTGTATTCGTACAATCAGTAGAGATCGTTAGATTATATTGTTTAAGGTTGACGGACACGCATGTCTTAATTAGTTTTTTTTTTTACGAATTGGACAAACCCAAACTCAAACAAAACATTGTTTTCAATCGTTATGAGTCTCTACCGATTGAATAGAATTTTATTATAAGCAACTGTCTTGTAAATGGAATTTTTAAAAGCATTCTGAATGTAAAAAAAAAAAAAAAAGTGTGCAAGACAATAAGAAACACACATGCCATAAAAAGTGAAGTTTTGTTGAAATCGGTTAAAAAATGTAGGTAGCCTTTCTGTAATCTTTTAGTTTTACAATTTATGATTTTTACTTATTGAATACAGTAAAAAAAATGAATATTTTGCTTGTGGTGATTCATAATTAGAATTCTGATTTGAATATATTTTCCACTCGTTGTTTCTAATACAAAAAAATATTAACTTTATTTGGGTTTATTAATTATGATCTAACAAATCTTATTCATTTAGTAGCCTTTCTGTAATAATAATCTTTTTACAATTTATGATTTTTACTTATTGAATACAGTAAAAAATTGGACATCATGTGTATTTAAAGTAGTTTCCGATTATTATTTTTAGTTAGGACTTGTGTATGTTTAGATTTCATTATCTTTCCCCAAAGATAAAGAATTTATCCGATGTTTGTATTCGTACAATCAGTAGAGATCGTTAGATTATATTGTTTAAGGTTGACGGACACGCATGTCTTAATTAGTTTTTTTTTTTTTTACGAATTGGACAAACCCAAACTCAAACAAAAACATTGTTTTTTATGAGTCTCCCGATTGAATAGAATTTTATTATAAATAACTGTCTTGTAAATGGAATTTTTAAAGCATTGTGAATATTAAAAATAAAGAAAAAAGTGTGTAAGAGAATAAGAAACACAACCTGCCAAAAAAAAAAAGTGAAGTTTTGTTTTATCGGCTGCAAAATATAGGAAATCCGATCCCATATTTAACAGAACCCACACACACAAACAACCCGATGTGAATTGTCCCTCTTCCATTTTCACGATGTCTCTTAATCGTGTTTTCAAATTGATTTTGTGCAAAAACAATTATATTTTTCCTATTTTTGGTGCTGTTAGAACCACCACAAGGTAATTTTATGTAGTCCTGTGAAGTTTTGTTGAAATCGGTTGAAAAATGTAGGAAATCCGATCCAATATATAAACGTTACACACACACACACACACACACACAATCTGCGTTTTATAATAAGTAAGATATATATATATATATATATATATATATATACTAACCAATGTAGCAGAACAAAGAATCTATGTCCAAATAGTAAATCCCAGTTTCACGTATATCGATTATCAGACCACAAGTACGGATATATATATATATATATATATATATATATATATATATATACAAATATAGGATTAGTGTATACGGAATAAATTCAAATAACCAAAAAATACTATTCTTAAAAGAGTGCTCAATACAGAGTAGAGTAAATCACTTGATAAGACACTAGATGTGTGGAAACAAAATGGCTATTTTTGTAGTGATTTTATAACACATTTATGTTATAATTTTCGAATAAATCATATATATATATATATATATATATATATATATATATATATCAGTATTTTATATGAGAAAAACATTATTAAGGAGAGAGAACAAAAAAGTACAGGAATTAAGAAGACAAAAATGCGCGAGAAGAAACCTTTAGCATAGAACTTATGGTTGCATCTCGCAATTTTAACTATAATATGATGAAACTAGCTGTCAATCTAGTACTTCGGTTAAATTTGTAAAGTCGCGGTACCATAGAGGAAAACACATTTGTAGAATTAACACGAAAATATTTATAGAAAAAGCCCGAGGAAGTTACTTTACGATGGTGGAAAAGTGACGGAAACTGAGATGTCAGGTCAAAATCAAATACTTTACAGAATCTCCTATCTATCTATCTATCTATCTATCTATCTGCAAGAATTATGAATAAAATGCAAGGTGTCACAAAAATTGGCATCATTATAGAGTCTAATGACATAGCCAATTCTCACACAAATGATCTCAAATTTTAACAAAATGTGTAAAATCTAAGTCGAATCTTTAATTTTTTTCTTTGTTTAATTGTGAAGAATGACGTTTCGTACAAATGAAAAGGCATCTTATTTTGCTAGAATATGCTCGGACACAGTTAACCCATTGTGCAGCGCACATTTTCGAGAAAATTCAAGAAAAAATACACCAACTGGAAAGCAAATGGCACAAAAAATTCAAAGAGAAAGGCTGCATGCGCAGGGCAAAAGGATATGGATGACCATCAGTATCGGAAGATATCGTCAATCAGGCTCAGTAAATATTTGTACGAAGCCACAGAAGAGCATCTCTGGAAACAAGATTCCTTGTATGACACTTTGGAGCTGGAGACTGTTGCGTTAGACATGTTACAGTGTATTTAGCAGGTGTTGTACTACCATCTTTTATTGTTCAACATGAAGCCTAATTAGTTTCATTTGTCTAGGAAATGTATTTACTAAGATATCCCCATGTTAAATGATGTCATTTTTGCGTACACCCTGTATATCCCTAAACACTATATATATATATATATATATATATATATATATATATATATATATATATATATATATATATCCAGGAAGAGCTCAATGTCAGGATAGAGCAATATATATGAAATAACGATATATATTTTATATATCAACAATAGTATTAGGGAAATTGTATGACAAAGGGAAAAAAAAGTTTACTGGTCACGCGTTTTTGTTCTTTCCGTTCAATGAATTCGTGAAAGACGAATCGCGTCACAATTAAAGTTTTTCCACTCTGACATACATATATATATATATATATATATATATATATATATATATATATATATATATATATATATATAGGCTATTAACTATAATTTTTACTAGAACTGGATATGAGAAGTTTTATTTAAAATTCGATATCTGCACCAGATTTCGCAACAAGCTTTTCGAATCACTCAGGAATTGTGTCAACTGATATCACTAGGAACCCTTGTGATATGGAAGACATAACGTTTTGTATTCTCCCTTCAAGTTCTTTCAAAGTCTTGGTTTGGTATAGTAGACATACTCCTTTAACCAACCCCAAAGAAAAAAGTCACTGAGTGTTAAGTCAGGACACCTGGCTGCCCACTCATGCATAAGATAAGGATTCTGCTAATATTAATTATTAAATCTGATCCACAGAGAGCTCGATGTATTCATTATAACAGAGCATATGTACTTTTTACAGCAAAAGAAAAGAAAAAAACAAAAACAAAAAAAGAAACAAAAATTACCTCAACATAGAGTATAGTCTATTTCAAATCTTGAAATAGACTATACTCTATGTTGAGATATTTTTTGTAATATATATATATATATATATATATATATATAATTATTTATTTAAAATATGATTCCAAATCTTTACATAAGAGGTCTCATGTTTCCAAAGCAAGGCCGAAAACTTCAAATATAATCCTTTAAATTAAATTTTGTTTAAAAAATTTTCGCTTGAAGATGGAACGGTTCCATTTTAATTTAAACTCAATTTAATTTAAAGGATTATATTGAAGTTTTTCGGCTCTTGTTTTGAAACATGAGAAGAATTAAGTAGCGATTTGATTCATATTTTTAAATAAATAATTATATTTATGCTCTACTTTTGTATCGAGCACTATTTTTTAAAAATAATAACTAAAATACTAAGGGACTTTGGATTATTTACCCAACCAGTTCCTTCCTATTTTCTATATATTTTCACACACACACACACATATATATATATATATATATATATATATATATATATATATATATATATATATATATATATATATATATATATATATATGTGTGTGTGTGGAGCTGTCAGAAAATATCTTCTATTATATTGGCCTGTGACGTTAGAGGTGTATAGTGGTGGTATGGTACTAGAAATTGAATCTTCCCACCAATAATAGTAAAAATATTTAAGCTTGATGCATGCGACAGCTGAGCGGTAAGAGGGCAAAACTTCGTCAGACATGAAAGTTGTTACGAAGTCGAGATGTGCCATTCCCGCAGAAAAAAAAACAAACAAAAAACATATGGGTAATGCGTTTCAGTAGTGCTAACTTCGACACTACTGAATATGTTTGTTTCCGCTAATCCATGTATTTGCCAGCGCGGCATGCAATCCCTTGTTCCTCGTTGGCGAATATGCAGCGCCAGTGGGTGTGATTATGTGGAACAAAATAGTTTTTAGCAGCTGAAGACTTGATCTATTCAACATTATTGTTGTGTTCCCTGAATCAATTGTAGATTTCGTGGAAATAAATAGGCGGATTTACTTTTAGAGTGTCCATCGCACATCAACAGAAAATAAGCCATTTACTTGGTGACGCATGTCTCGGTCATGTATCGCTCATAATATAAGGACAAGTCTTTTGCTGTAGCCAAAGTAGAAATAATTATAGACATTATTAAGACGTGTGCATAACCAGTTGTCATTGAAGCGCCGTGTATTATTTCAAGCTGAGATTTAACAACCACCTTCAGAAGATTCCGGATAAACCGTATACAAATGGACTCCAAGAAGTTCTTCGCGACTGTACAGACTTTCAATCGATTTCTCATGTAAAATATCACTTTGATCACACCCTGCGAAAACATTATCTGCTCTAGAGGGTTAGCAAGCATATTTCTTAGATCATTTTAACTGTAGTGAATTTGTTTCTGTCTGGAAGCTTAAGTTACATTATTTTAATGGTAATGGCAATATTAACCGTTTCCACAGAGATAACATCCGACATTCATTGACCGAACAGTTAATGTTTTGAAATCTATAAAATCTTTTTTTTTATTAAAAAAGTTTTTTTTCAAGAAATTAGACATCATTAAATGTTATAGCTCTTTCTAATGCGGAATGGGCTTACGGCCAAATCACTTTGAAACGCCGATTTCCGTGCGATCACCGAAGTTAAGCAACGTTAAACCAGGTCAGTTCCTAGATCAGTGACCGCTGTGGAATGCCAGGTTTTCAAATCTTGATGTGCAGGATGTGTAATGGAAATTGGCTAGGAATTGTTAATCGTAGTCGAGTTTCATTTCTCGTTAGGTTCGTTATATTTATTTACGTACAAATACCCCTAGGAAAGGCATGAATCCACTTCTCCCCAACCCTCAGATATTGGTTTATTAGTAAGACTTATATCACTAAACGATTATTATCACAAAAAATTCTTAGAATCTAAAAATATTTTCTAGCGTTAGATAATCTGCAAAGGGTTGATAAGTTGCAAAAAAAAAAAACGAATCTATAAATCAATACGGATTTCGGTTTTCTACCAGTTTCATTTTTTATATTGTGGAAAGCTAACAGTTGGATTATATCATTATTTTCTCTTCTAGTTTAAGATGCTTTTGATCGGGATACTGGAAGTTTTAAGGAGCGTGGAACCACCACTTAACTGCTGTTTTTGGCAAGTCAACATTAACCCGGGGTGGTAGCACCTGTTATGTTCGCAGCTATGGAAAAATAATGAGCCCTCAAACAAAAAATCAACAGTACATTATTATAATAAGATGACCAACATTTATAGTAAAATGACAATGCATATATATATATATATATATATATATATATATATATATATATATATATATATATATATATATTATATCGTGGCTGTCCGCTCGGTTTCGAGCGTGACCACCTCCTTTATTTTATGTCCTCACCCCCACTCCCACTCCTGGGATTCTGTATATTCGCAGGTGACTCTTCAGGCCAGCCAAACTGCGACAAATTTTGCCACAGAATTGGCATACCCAATCAGTTTTGTTTACAGTGACATTATTCGGGTGCACACTAGGTTTTGCACATTTACTCAGATGGCTTTTGAAGCCGGCAAAAGATAGGCACAATTTTCCGCATATGTCACAATTAACGTGGTGAATTTGTGGACCCTGTTCGCCTTTATGAATCAGACGTTTGTAGGCACTGTACTGCATATGGCTATTCTCAAAGGACTCAATGACTTCGGGAATTAGTTTCCGCCACTTACTTCTATCCAAAGCCATTTTTCCCATTGGTCTACCGATAGTTCAGATTGTTTCAGATAAATTTTATTGTGTCCTTAAATCTCTTCTTCGGCCTTGATGCATTTCTCTTTCCTTCCCACTTTTCACCATAGAACAGCCGTTTTGGTAGACGACTGTCATCCATACGCGCAATGTGACCGACCCATCGGAGACAATTTTTCATTACCATCGACTGAATGCTTTGTAGCCCTGCTTTCTCTAATACTTCTGTATCTGAGACATGGGACTGCCATGTGATATGAAGTATCTGTCTCAGACACCGTTGATGGAAGACCTCAAAAAGTTTTAGTTGATGTTTATAGGGTGTCCATGTTTCGCTTGCATACAGGAGGGCCGTCAAAACACAAAGAGATTTCTCTGTTGAGGCTGCATCCTTCAGAGATGGTACTGCCAAGATATACAAAAGAATGTACTGCGTCTAATTTATTTCCTTCAACGAAGATAGTTGGTTCCATATAGGGTGATCCGGGTGCTGGATCATACATGACGACTGTCTTTTTTTGGTTGATCCTTAAACCAAATGAGTTACATGCAGATACAAAATGGTTCATAAAACATTACAGCTCATCTTCAGAATGTGCAACGATGTCACAGTCGTCCGCGTAGAGCAGCTCCCTCACCAATGAGGAAGAGACTTTTGTTTGAGAAAGCAGTCTACGGACATTATATACATTGCCAGATGTCCGATATCTGATGTAAATACTGTTTGGGTTTTCATAGAAGGCCACGAGAAAGACTATGGCGAAGTAGATATTGAATAACATGGGTGAAGAAATGTCACCCTGTTTGACCTCATTGTTTATAGGTATTTCTTCAGATAGAGTGCCGTTAAAGCTAACTCTAGCTTTCATCCCGTCATGAAGAGAACGAATCAGACCCA